CACGGGGTCGTGACGTGGCCGAAGACAGGAGACTTCGTGTTGGGATTTAACTGTTTATTTGGGCGAACCTGTGCCCGGCAAACGGAAAGTCCAATTACAGCAGCAGTCTCGCACAGATAGCAGTCTCCGACTGATAGCGGCGAACGGAGCGTCGGCCTTCGATCAACAACTGACAAGCGGCGAAGCGCGTCGGCATTTATACTCTTGCCGTCGAATGTTCCAGCGTTATCGCTGGCGGTGGCGTAGGTTCCAGAACAATCTGTACCGTTCGCACAGTGGGCGTGATCTTATCAAATGATCTACTACAGTCCGGAATCTTCTCGAAAACTGCAGGCGCGGTTTGCGCTGAGAATCGTGTGGTGTTTTGGGACGATAACAAAAACTTGGGAAATGGAACGTGGCAATACAATACATTGCGTTTCTCAGAACTACCACATTTGAAACAGTTTTAACTTTCAAAAATGCTGCATGGCCCATGTACATTTTCTCAATAGTCCCATTTAGCGTATCACTGAGGTGCAACATTGCGATATGGTTGAGTGAGATCAACTGCCATCAACAGTATTTGTCCAATAAAGGCACAGAAGATATAGACGTCAGACTCTGCCCAGTTGGCGCTGCGAATAACGCCGCCACCAGCGCCTCCATCTACGTGCTGGCCATAAATGGGTAGTGCAAAAAAAGCTGCCCGCAAACGAATTTTTATAGGCGCTTCTCTTTCATTGGTCTTGAGGTGCTGTTTCCCGAAAAATCAAGGACCTGGCATGCTTCTTCCTTCAATACAACCTCGCTTCAGAAAAGTAGGAAGCTCATCAAAACGAACTGAGGGTACAATGCAAAAGATGTTTCAGTGATTTTGGCGTACTAAAACTGGCAATTTAAGTGCAAGTGAGCATCGCACGACATCAGAGTTCGATGCCAGCCCTCCAACGTGCTTTCTGTAACGCCTTAATGCATTAAGCTTTATTGATGGATATATGCACATTCTGAAATGTAATGACAGCCATATGCCTCACATGTGCACATGCACGTAACGTTTTAAGGTAGGTCACCACCTTCAAAAACCTATTTTTCTGAAAAAGATTATTTCTTATATTTGAAATATTGGTAATCCTTGTATATTCAAGAATATTTAAGAAGAATAGTGATAAAATTATCTTAAGACGTCCGAAAGTTATGACCATTTATCCGTCCCCCCTTGGTTGAACTCTTAACTGATACTGAAAGTTTTCGATTCCACAACGCCTCCCATAACGTCACAAATGGTTTTTGTTAGACATAACACTAGGCTTGTGCGAATAGTGAATTTTAGGTTTGAAGCGAATAGTGATTTTTGTCGAATAATTTCGAATTGAATTTGAATAAAATATATGACGTATAAAGAAAAATGGGCATATTTATCATAACCTAACTAATCTGCACAATATTTTTTTATACAAGGACTCTATGCTTTCTTTATTTTTTTCCATTCAAAGAAAGTCTAAACAACTTAGAGAAGTAGGAGGATTTGACTTTCAGTAAAAATTAGGCCCGTGTGCTCAGATTTGGTGCACGTTAAAGAACCCCAGGTGGTCTAAATTTCCGGAGCCCTCCACTACGGCGTCTCTCATAATCATATAGTGGTTTTGGGACGTTAAACCCCACATATCAATCAATCAACTTTCAGTAAAATGCAAGTGATAACCTGTAAAAATATATTGCATTATCCATCACAGCTAGAGTGTATAAGCCGGCACAACAAGCTTTTAAGCTTAGAAAATGATCGATCGATTTGAGGATAACATAATCCCGGCTGCGGCGGCTGCATTTCCGATGGAGGGGAAAATGGTGTAGGCCCGTGTGCTCAGATTTGGGTGCACGTTAAAGAACCCCAGGTGGTCAAAATTTCCGGAGCCCTCCACTACGGCGTCTCTCATAATCCTATGGTGGTTTTGGGACGTTAAACCCCACATATCAATCGATTTGAGTATAACATGTTCATATAAAGGGACCCTGCAACAGTTTTTCAAGAAATGGATTCACTAAAAAAGCTTATTACCTTATGAATTAAATGCCGCAACAATTTTTTAGGATCTGTCCAGTATGAGTGGAGTTGCAAAGGTTTGACACATGCTGCAATTGCATTCTCTCTTCTCTTCCTCACGAAAGCGCTTGAAATAAAGCTGGGAGAGATGGCATAGTGAAAGGAAATGGTCACGTCACCTTGAGCACTCTTTCTTTTCCTTTTTTATTTTCTTTGATGAATATGTGGTTTTTTATTGTAATTGCGCATGTACGGGTGGACATGTCAAGGCCACCCACAGTGGCCCCAGTAGCGACCAAGCACCCCATGCCCAAATCAGCCAATGGCTGGTACAATGGCGGTGACGAGCGATTTCCGACATTGGACATTGTGGCGTCATTTACCGAGAAAAGACAGCAATTTCATCTGACATTTAGAATTTATTGTGGATTTCAGGTCACGTGCTGTGCTATAATATTTAGCTCGCGTGTTCTCGGTAACCTCGATTACCTATCGGCAACGTTTGCTGACCATGCTCAAAAAGTGTTGCAGGGCCCCTTTAAATTTGAAGTGGGGCTTTGCGGCAGTGCAAATTTCTTGTGATTAGATGCTTTCACGGCTTAGCAACACTATACTGCAGTGAAATTATCTTTACAGGTGGTTACATGCTGTTCATACAGCTATTCGTTCATGTCGAATACTTTGAAATATTCGATAATTTAAATTTGAATCGAAGTGAATTCGAATACTCTACTATTCGTTCGAATATTTGAATCATTTGAATACTTGCACAAGCCTACATAAACCGCAATATTATGTTGTCAAAGTACATAACAAAGCTTGTGGGAGATGATGTAGTGGATTTATTTTAAAATGGCTACTACACATCTATGGCACTCTGTTGCTTCAGTTGCACGCGGTTTGGCTTGGCTATTTATGATTTTCATAACACTACCTCTTCCTCTTTAAGTTGTCGCCTTTAAAAGAGAAAGTTATAGTACTCCGGGAAATATGACAAAGTATAGGACGAAAAAAAAGCATCAGTTATAAAATCAATGTATCAAGCATGCACTTGCTGGGATGCCAACAGTTATAAATCTCTTTCCAATGAAAATTTCCTCATGAAAATTTTCATACTGTTTCTTTATAACTGCAACTGTACATTCAAGCAGAATTATTTGAAGTTCAGCTCTAAATTTTTGCACTATGAATAATCGTGTGGAAAAGAAACATGTCAAATCTCAACTATTTAGTGTTTTTGTGGTAACGTACCATATATTAGAGATGACTTGATGATGACGGGTCTTCATTATGTACCTGCCTAGTCGCATTTGAATCGCACCTAGCATTTCGTAGTGATGACTGCTCGTACAACACACACATCTTGGCCAATTTTGATTTTTATAAATTTATTTTTTACAGTTTTAGTAGTTTCATTATTTTAAACCTTAAATTTTTTGAAGCCCTACCAGCCAAAATCATAATTATAACTTTTGGACGGAAACTGTAAAACATTTTTTTGAAGGTGGTGGCCTATTAAAGAGGTACTGACACGAAAATTTTTCGCTTGTTGTTTTTGGCTTCAAATGGTAGGTCAAGCCCTTTGTGCATACGAATTGCATCGATGAGCGTGAGTGTACCCTGAAAAATTAATTACAGTGTGCTTTTAAAAGCTAGTTTTAGTTCCTACAGTATCCCGACATCACGATGTGGCATGAGCAGCGCCACCAGGCGGTAGTAAGTGCACACGCAAGTTTTCGTGACATGTCCTCGTCCGCGTGTCTCTTCTTCGATTGTCTGCTTTGCATGCTGTGCGCAGATGTGTGGCAACTGTCACGACAAGGGGGTACAATGTTGGCATGGCATCACTTTTAGGGTGCAGGTTTTTCATCGATAATCCAAAGTCGGTCAGCAACTGCATGTTGTGTGTGTACGAGTCTGGAGTGAAGTGCAGCAAACAGTAAACTCCGCTTGATTGGTGTCCAGTCTCCGCCTCGGCTGCGGCGCAGGAAGTCAACCCACGCTTGTCTCGGCACCGGATCGGACGGTGTAACTTGCACCTATTGTCCCCGTTTCACTGGCGCAAGACTTCAGAGGGCAGAATATTGGTGCCATGACGACAAATTTGAAGCGGAACGATTCCTTTGCCTTCTCATAAGCGCTAATCTCGAATTCGCGTGCACATACACTATTCCATACTCCGCTAGCTCTCTTCACAGATACGCTGGATGACAGTGACCGCATGACACAAGGAGATGATTGAGAAGGCGACGTGCAAGCTGCCATTTTTTGTGTTTCGGTGCTTGACATCATCACAACGAGCCAGACTGCTGCGTGACATCACCAGGATTAGTACTGTAGCCAGACATCAAGTTAGTGTCGATGTTGGTGGATGTGTTGCGAAAACATTTGGCTTTAATATGAAAATGAAATATCTTATCAGCATTTTATGAGCGTCACTCTAGCAGCTGTCTCATTCCTTTTTTTCCCTGAATATGTTGGTTTCTCGGTGTCAGAGCTGAATGCTGAATGACAGTGCAAGTTGTTTCTCTTGACTTGCTAATGGTTCTCTGCCCACTTTTGTCCTCTAGATGTGGCTGCTGTAGTCACGCGATCACTCGTGCCACATTGTCTTCATTTTATATGAGTGTTTCCCCTAGTGTTTAGCTCAAGGGGTTCAAAAGGTCTGGCGGTACTAGAAAATGCACCTTCCATTACTTTTACCTTAGTGAAATGTGAGTAAGAAAGTAAATAAATAAAACTTGCACCTTAATTGTACTGCTATGTTGGACAAAGGCATCATAGCACAAAATACCACTGAATGTTATGTAAAATTAAAAAGTTTCATTTTATAGACATGTTTGTACAGCGAAAAAAAAAAAAAAGAGGACATAAGAAAGGACACAATATGGGTGCTTTTATCAAATTGCATTCTATCATGCTTTGAATGTGGTGATTGAATGTAGTTAATAGTGATTGTGGGGTGGTTTATTTACAGTTTATTGATGATGGGCTGGAGGAAATGCGTACCAATTGTCCAATCACCCTTCCACTAGTAACATCACAAGTCCCAGCCTCCAAGTGGAAGCCAGTCGTCAAGGTCGAAGGGAAGCCAGTCATCAAGCAAGAGCCTTTGCATGGATTTGCCCCGAGTAATGCTGTACCAAGTGTGGCTCTAAACAGAAGAACCCTAGCTGACCTGTTCACAGACCCAAACCTACCTGGTAAGTTGTCATATCTGAAAAGCATTGCGTGAACCGTGAAAATTCTCAAGCCTGGTATTATCAGTGAATCTCGCAACATGGAGAGAAGGGTGGGACATAGGCCTGCATGGAACACTGACCACAGTTTATTAGAACTTGTTGTTGGGAAGAGGGGGGGGGGGGGGGCTAGATAGTAACCTGTCATAACGAAGATACTTGGAGCAACTTGGAATTCCTTCAAAAAACACGCTTACATTCATAGGGGTACTGACACAAAAACTTCCACCTTGCGTTTTCTAGCTGCAATGTTTAGCTGGGGTAGGTTAGTCATAACATGGTACATTTTTTGCTGCAGCACGCGACAGATAATTATTTACAAGCTCCTTATTATCAACCAGTTTTAATTTGGTTTGAGAGAGCTCCAACAACAAGCTGCCTTGAAACTATCGCCACCTAGCATGGGCAGTTCTCGACCATGGTAGCACACAAAACTGTGACGCACTTCCACACGGTCCACATCAGACACTTCTTTTGAAGAGGAAATGGGGCGGCAGTGTCGCCAAAAACGGAACTTTCAACGCGTGCCGCCCTACTGCGAACTTGCGATGAGCCGCTGAGAAGTCAAGAGGACTGCTAGAATGAATTCGGCAAAAGGAAAATGGCGGCTGAGATGTCATTATACCTTGTTTTAATGACTACAACGTGGGGACCTGAAGGAAGTAAGGCTGTCTCTGTAGGGTTGCTGCTGATGGTGTCAGTACCTTCAAAATTCAAACTTCAAAATTGCTGTAAACTACCTTCCAAGCTTTATTTGCTGTTGTTTTGCAGATGATATACCTATATTCACGGTAATCGATCCCACAGACTATCTCGGCTGTGAAATTTTGTGTCAGAACCTCTTTAACTCTTTCGTTACCATGCGAAAATGGTTGTTTTTCATATGCATTGGAAAGATCTCTTTTGCCAGTTTGGAAAGTAATCCAGCAAGCATTGCAGCAGGCTAAGCTTTGCACAATGAAATGCTCTTTTCAAAAAATATATGTTGTAGAGCAACAAAAAATTTTAGAATGAATGAAAATGACAAAAGTGTGGAATAATTGGTCGCCAGCTGGTAAACAGTGCAATAAAAAACACTATACGTGCTAAAATATTCAAAAGAAAGAAAATTTAGAATATACATTTTGTAAATAAATGACCCAGTAACATTAGAAAAATAATGAATGTTGTACAAATCGTTTCTCTTCACATAGACAAAGACAATCGGAACCGAGGTGCTGCTTTGTTGCTCGTACCATGCGGTGAAGCATTACATGGTTTTTCGTGAGAGAAGTGCACTCGTACACTGTTCTTAGTAAATTTTTGTTGCCTTGCGATAAGAGTCTACAGGTGCTCCAATATAGATGGATACCCGTGAGACGAATAATCCCTCTATAAATGAGATTTCTGAAGAACTTTGCTATTTCATCTAGCGTCACCTGTTTCTATGAGCCACTGCACTGCGCATAGGCTGGCATTTAAATATATGCATCTAAGCATATTTCTTAGCATTTTCCCGCATATCATATTAAAAAAAGGGCAATCTTGCGTGCAGTTCTAAAACGTTTCGCACTGCTCCATAGTCAGGGCCAAGAAGTGCTCCGGGAGTCTTCTTGCCATTACCAGAAGCTCTGAAGCCAGCGCGAGCACGCCACGCCCTGGTGGAGTGTGGACCACGCACATAACCAGAGTATACCTATAATATTGTGCACAAAGGTCAGAAGCTATACGCACTTGCGGCGGAGGAGAAAACTTGAGAATGTAAACAAAACCAATCCATGAATGACTGCAGATGTCTCAGGCTCGCGCAAAACATCGTTGCCATAAAACTTGGAGCAGAGTTGCTGTCATGTGCGAACTCTAAACTCATCCTTCCTTAGCTCAGGTGGGGTTGCAAGACAGTTTCGAGCAGCGAATGTGTTTTGCAGCACTTGTGCACACCCATGCGCGCACGTGACGATGATGTCATAGAAGCCACACGTGATACTACATGCAACGCTGTGTCTGATATAACGGTGTGAGCAAAACCTAAGGTGCTTGAAACTGTCGAAGAAGACCACCTAGACATTTTAAACACGCGGCGGACCTTCGTAAATATTTTTGTAGAACAAATTTCCCCTGACTTCTACGAAAAGCTCTCTATTGAATATCTCGCATAAATTTCTGGCCATTATGACTGCTCAACATAGTCAAATTGCAGAGCTAACACTTCAATTGAATATTTGGCTTGCAAAGGCTCTTTTCATTACAGAACTGTGATGTTGCTGTAGCCTAATCACGAGGGGCACGCTTTTCAGTCAAGTTCGCCAGCCTAGTGCGTTGTTCCAGCAATACACGCACATTGGTTCGTGCTAAGGGCTGTCAAAAACCACTATGTTGCCAAAACGAGCAAATTCAAATTGATTCTGAAAGCTGAATGGCTGGACTAACAATTACAGGTTTTCCCTCTCGCTTAATCTAAGTGCCAGCTTAAATAATCCGCATGCCAACGAAATAATTCAAGAACTAAGCTATTTAATCCATGTGCCATACATTTCATTCAAGTGCCAACATATTTAATTCAAGCGCCAACTCAATTAGGCCACGTTCCAGTGAATTTAATCCAAGTGACACAGTGTTTAATCCAATTCCCAACAGCTTTATTTCAGGTGTCAGTCAGTTTAATCCATGCACGAAAAGCATCATACGGGGCATAAAAACTGCAGTACAATCGAAATGTACAATATATAAGATGATAGTCGCAATATAGAACAAATCACTATTATTTGTATTTGCTGCTAGTATTTATGAAAAAAAAATTACTGCCGTTGTTCACTTCAGCCGTGTTTGTACTTTATTATGTACAAGTTTGTAGATGAGTTCTTGGCTCGGGTGGAGTCATTTCAATGGCAACGAAAGAAAAAGCGTGAACATGTTAACGAATATTTTGTCTTCGTCACTAAAGCTTATAATTTGGATTTGTATAGCATTACATCACCAGGACAACTCATGTAATGCAAAGGACAGAATATGGTTATTGGAGTGCCGAATGCATAACAATATATGAAAAATTTGGCCGTGGGCAGCGATGGCTCAAAAGCAGGTACCTGCTGAATGAATAAGGATCCCCTCACAGGGCAGAGCGAATCAGCGATAATTCCGAAGAGGTTTTGGTCCTGCAGTGCTCATAAGGCATAAACTCATTATCCTGATGTGGACAACAAAAGTCACATTTTACATTCATATTAGCTGTTATCTTTTTATGCAAACAAAATTATGTGTATGCGGTGACACACGCGTGTTTTAACTAAACACGCTTCAGCAACGCCAGCATCGTTTGTTACATGAAAAACAGGAGTATCTCCTTTGACGCTTTTATAGAAAAACTTAATTCCTCATGAACCCAAATAAATGCCAGTTCAGTTTTTTAAATCGTTATTTCAGATTTCAAGGACAGATGAATATCATCTGTCGGTCACCATCGTTCTCGCCGTGCTGAGCAGATAACTGGGAACGCCTCAGCGAATAGCCAGCCAAATGCCGTCTGGTGAGCAGACGACATGAGTCTCTGCATATGTGATGATGTAATTAGATGATTAGCCGGAATAATGCAGTAGCGATGAAGCATAGACTAACATGGACTCTATGAGCAAATATATTTAGTACCCATAAATGCAATTAATATGCACTGTTTATTGTATTTGAAGCTATGACACCAAAACGTTAGGGGGGAAAGAGCACTGCACCTCATTTCATAAGCAATAACATTTACAGGCGAGCGAAAAGTTCTTCCTGCCACTCCATGTTTACATTATTCCGACATTTATACTGTATAAAGTGGCAAACCATGTGTTTCTGGTGCATGAATTAAACTGGCTGGCACCTGAGTTAAAGCTGTTAGCAATTGGATTACACATGGTGGCACTTGGATTGAACTCACTGGCACGTGCCCTAACTGAGTTGGCGCTAGGATTAAATGTTTGGCTCATGGAATAAATAGCTTGGCACTCAGATTATTTCAATGGCGTGTGGATTATTTAGACTGGCACTTGGAATAAAGTAAGTGGGAAAACCTGTTGAAAGTGCTGGGTGCACGAGGAACAATATTAACAAGCCGAAATTAGAAACCAGAAGCATCTATCACTAGTGATCGATTTGAATAGGTGTGGTAACGAAAGAGTTAAGGTAGGTCAACACCTCCGAGAAAAGATTTTACAGTTTTAGCCCAAAGGTTAAATTATGGTTTTGGCTTGTAGGGCTTTGAAAAATTTTGTGAACAAGATGATGAAATAGCAAAAAATGTTGAAAATTAATTTTAAAAAATTAAAAGGTGCCAAAATATGTGTGTTGCGCTAACAGTGATAACTAAAAAACTTTTGGTGCGACTGAAGCATGACTTGGCAACTATTTAGTGGGGACATCTGTGCATCTAACCTCCACGACCATCTTATCTTGAAGCCTAGGCACATTATCATAAAAAAAGGGAAAAAGTTTATAGTATTTGGCAAGCCTATTTTGCACGCTTTTGGCCATATTCCAAAGAGTTACCACTCGTGATCAATACTTCTGCTTGAATGCACAGCTCAACCTATGGAGAAACGGCACGCAAAATTTTTTGTGGAAATATTGGTTAGAAGCAGAGCTATCATTCGTGTAACACTAAGATGCAAAAAGTCGCCTTTCGAGAAAAATGGCTCTAAAGATTTAAACCGTATGTCAGTGTAACAAAAGTAAAATTCAATGCGCCTGAAATTCACCAGGCTGATAGCTTGGGACCTCTTTTGAAGTGGTACAGGCTTTTCTTGAGCGAGACAAAAGAAGTATTTTTTCGTAGCTCGTTTTGTGTCTGTAGGTGACTTTCATCTCCGGGCTCCACAGTAGGTCCACGCATGGCATATTGAATGGCTAACTTGCATTTAAACTTCTTTTTCATCCTATACTTTGCCATGCTGCATGAAGTATTATAGCTTTCTCCTTAAAAAGCCAGAACTAAATTCAAGAACTCG